ATTTTAATTAAGAAAAGAAAATAATATAGTAATTAATCCTAAGTCTAAATATTAATTATTAAAAGAAATTAATTTGTTAAAAGAAAATGTTTTTGGTCTTTTTGTTTTATGAAGAAAAATAAAATATAAATGAGCATTTTTAAATATGTAAATAAATAAATAATAAAATAATATGAAATGAAAATATAATAAAGAAAAAGAAAAAACGAAATAATAAAATAAAGGGTCAGGGGTGTGAAAGTAAACAGGGGTTAGAGGTCAGCAAAAATAAAAGCCCAAAAGGGGGAAGCCCAGGCGCCCGTTTCATACAAAAAATGGAAAAGATATGAAAAAGAACCAAAAGGGTACCACTGGGGCTCAAACCTAGGTCCCAAAGGTGACTTGCGCGCGCTTTAACCACTAGGGTGGTGATACATCTGTTAACTTTAACAAAACAATAAATATGTAACATAAGTTTTTCCCTGAATGTAACTTCATCTTCAACCTCCAGCCAAAGAACCTGTAACTCATTCATTTCTCATCCATTCACTAAATTTCCAACATCAAACTTGTTAGAAATTTCCTCACGATTCTGAATATGTAAACAACTTAAGCTAATTCTCAAAGATGAGCATGAATTTCTAACAGTACCAAATTCTGACCTAAATATTTTCAGAGATTCAAACTCAAAATTCTCCCTACTCAAGCAACATAAATGAATTCTATGGACATGTATAGTTTCAGGACAATGATGTCTACATTTTATCTTCACAAATGCCAGTCTAACAATGCCTAAATATGAAGATAGAAGTTCAAGAAAAATACCTCAAAACTGGAAATCGTGAAATGAGTTTGAGCTTGATTCAAGGTGCTGCAATGATCAGGTTAGCTTCCTTGAGTCTCTAGGAAGCTAATGCAATGCTTAGCTTGAGTTGAGAGTGGCTGGAATGGTCTGGATAAGTCCAACTGCAATGCTCTGTTTTTCGCTGTAAAAGTTGATGAAGATGGAGTTACATTCGTGTAACAGGGACAGGGATGGTTTGTATTTTATGTAAGGAGGCTTTAGAAACTAAAAGGCCAAAGGACGCACGAGGGAAATGGAAGTTTGAAGTTCAAATCCAGAAACTGTGCAACAATGGAGTTTTTGGGAAATTTCTGATTTGAGGGAGTTTGGGAGCTTTTCAGGGTCTTCAAGCTCGTGTTTTTTCTTGCAAATAACTTGTATAGTTATAAGAAAGATGTCTTAGGGTTTGAAGTTGACAGATCTGTGAGATATAAAGTTATGGCTATATTACTTGATTTTGAAGAAAAGTGGGAAAACAAGTTTCAATGTGTTGTACAAGTATGGTCTGAGTTGGTAAGAGGTTCTAGCCATGTTGCTTTTGGTTTTTGACTTTTCTTGTGTTCAGTTGAAACAAGATAGGAGCTCTATGCATGGACTTTGTGATTAAAGTCACTTTTCCAAAATGGAAGTGTGAACTTTGTTCCATTAATGGAATAATCACTTGGACAATGACTCAAGCAATTGGATAATAGCTCAAATAGTTGTGTAATCTTCTGATTATGGATAGATTTAGAGGTTAGAAGTATGCAAAGTAAGATTTATGCAGCATGGGTGTGGATTGGATCAAATGTTCATCATGAAAATGACTTGAAAAACAAATTTGAAACCCCAACTTCTTGCCTTCGATTCTCTTAGCTCAAGCATGATATAAATGAGTTCTTTGACATTTTGGAAAGCTTGTAACATCCTATACAACATCTATGTTGGACATTATTGAAAATTCCTCTTGGAACTATGTGAAAAATTGCCATGAAGTTAGGTCAAAATCCTGCCTAAACTAAGGTAAAATTTCACTAAGTTTCCAAGTTTCATGAACATGTATTCACAAAATAATAACTTGAAATACATGTATTTATAGGAGAAGTTGTATATACAATGTTTTAGATCTTATTTAGATATAAAACTTTCATGTTGGAAGTTTCCTTTGAATCATCTTGTATCATGGTGAAAAATTGGCTCAAAGTTGTGAAAAAATATGAAGTTTTCAACACTTAGAAAAATTTCTAAGTTTAGAAATTTTGACTTTTCAAAATGAAATATTGACTTTTAACTTCTTGATGAACAAGTTTCATACTTTGACATGTTTTGATGAATTGTAATATTTGACACTTGATTTTGACCAAAAAGTTAAAGTTTGACTTTTCAGTGTATAATTGACTTTTCATCAGTTGACTGAAATTCATCTGTCAACCAATCAATCTTGAGAGATGTTTTGAGCCCTGACATTAGGTTAAAAGGATGCATTTGGATCTTTAAGATCATAACTTAAACCAATCAATCATTTTTCCAAGTCAAAAACCAGAAATTGCACCTTCTTAGTCAAAACCCTAATTTTGACCATTTTGCCCTTTTGATGATCTGATCAAATTTTTTGAGGAATTGTGATCCAAACTTGATCAAATGACATATGTGAGTTAATATTGTTTATATGGACCAAAAATTATGAAGTTTGACTATAAATTGACCATAATTGACTTTTTCCCCAATACAACTTATTTTAGGTCAACTGATCAATTGACTGAGCAAAAATGTGATCCAAGACTTGAATCTTGACATGAGTAATATTGAGACTCCAAAATGATCCATGAAAGTCATATGAGGAACTAAAAGTTCAATTGTCATTGTGCAATCTCCAACCCTAATTTTCAGTCATCAGTGTTAGAGGAGGTGTATTGGGCTGATCAACCCTTGTGCAGTCTTGAACCAAAGGAAATCTAGTGAGAGATTATTTGATAAATGAGAGGGCAAATTTTTGGGTACAACATCATGCAACCACATTATGATGGAACAGAAAATACTTTCATGTGTAAAACACTTTCAGCAGCTTTGCGTTCAACCCGTGACTTTATTTTGAATGTCGTATCAAGTGGAATAGCAAGTCTACTTTTACCAGGTGGAAGAATAACACATTCAATATTCAAAATTCCTGTACCATATTTAGAATCATCAATTTGTAACATTGATAAAAAGGATGACCTTGCTGGCCTCTTAAAGTTAACAAAGTTTGTTATTTCGGATGAGGCTCCAATGGCAAGCAAGTTTTGTTTTGAAGCGCTTGACAAGTCTTTCAAAGATATAATGGGTGACGAAGACATATCTTGTGAGAAAATATTTGGAGGTAAGGTGGTTGTCTTTGGTGGAGATTTTAAACATATTCTACCAGTTGTACCAAGTGGAACCAGATCATATATAGTTCATTCAACAATTAATGCCTCATATTTATCGGATCATTGTAAGGTTCTAACACTTACAAAAAGTATGCATGTTAACTGGGTCACATTCTAGAAATGTAGAAGAGATTGAGAATTTCTCTAAATGGACATTATATGTGGGAGATGAGAAAATATCATAATCAAATGATGGATATGCTGATATAACAATTCCACCTGAGCTAATTATTTCTGATTATGTGGACCCAATTGAGAAGATTGTGACAAGTACATACCCTAATCTACTTCAAAATTACACAAATTCAGATTTTCTTCAGAGTAGAGCTATTTTATAGAGATTGTGGATGACATCAATGACTACATCACTAATCTATTTCCATGTTAGTATTCTTAGCCATTTAATACCCAATTATTTTAAATACTAAAATATTATTATAATCATGTTTATAAAATTTTGGTTTACTTTTAGGTGATGGAAAAAATTATTTGAATAATGATTCCATTGACAGATCCAAAGCTAATGACAATGAAGCATTCCAAAATTTGACACCCAGATTCTTAAGCTGTTTGAAGACTTAGGACTACTAAATCATTTGATGAAGTTAAAGATGGGAACAACTATAATCCTGATAAGAAATTTGGATCAATTTGAAGGACTTTGCAATAGTACAAGATTGACGCTAACAAGCCTAGTGAATCATGTCATTGAAGAAAATCATTTCAGGTACTCGTGTAGGCAACACTATTTATATTCCAAGAATTTTGTTGTCTCCTTCTTAATCACCATGGACATTTAAGCTTATTAGAAGGAAATTCCATATTATTGTCTCTTTTGCCATGACAATCAACAAATCTCAAGGACAATATTTAGATTTTGTTGGTTTATATTTGTCAAAAGACGTCTTGAGTAACGGACAATTATATGTTGCCGTGTCAAGAGTAAAAAACAAATCCGGTTTGAAAATCCTAATTTATGACAAATAATTATTCAAGGAAGTATTCCACAATATTGTCTAGATATTCTCTATTCTTTATTTTTTATCAATAATGTATTTATATTTTCCTTCTATTGTTTTTGAATTGGGGGAATATTTTTACTATATCTTTCTTATATTGGATTATCCTAATTCTTTTAATATTATGGAAATTTTTCTTATAATATTTCTCATATATTTATTTATGTTTTATTTTTCTTATTAGGGTAATTTTTTCTTACAAAATGTGGTGTGCTCTTATGCTAGAATCAATTTGCAAATTATCATTGGCATTTTACTTCTTTTTTTTTTTTGGAGCATTGATTTTGAATTAGATTACAACAAATTTACCCTTTGTTAAGGGATAAATACTTACTTATTTGACTACACCTTTATTTACATTATTATTTCTTGTGGCTAAAATATGTTGTGCACCACTTATTACTATTTTGCATTTTTTATCTTACATCTTTTATCCTTATATTTAGAATTTCTAATTAATCTTAGAAATGATAGAATCCGTGTGGACGCACAAGTCTTCTATACGTAAGAATGTTTTTATTACGATTCAAATAACCAATAATTTTATTATTTTTTATTCTTATTAATAGATGACACTTATTCACATATTCTTCTCGCAAGAATGGACTAAAAAAATATAGGATTGCATTCTCATAGTCAAATCAACCAAGTTATTATTGTGCTCAAATTGATATCACATAATGATAAAATCAACATTATTTTTATTAAAATCACACAAAACAAAATAAATTACATTGGAAAAAAAAAGACAACAATGTCTTAAGAGGCAAATTATGATGATTCAGAAGGTGGACTGGGAAATCCTGGGATGCCGGGAATTCCTGGAATATTTGGAATAGGTGGGATTGGAATTGGGATGCATGGGATTCCAGGAATGGGTGGAATTCCTGGAATGCATGGAATACCGATGGGTGGGATTGGGATTCCAGGGATGGTTGGAAGGGGTGGAATTCCAGGTATGTCTGGAATTCCAGGTATGAGAGAATCAAAATTTGCACCATCATTATTTTTCTTTTTAACAACTTCAAGGTTGGAAGATTCCAAAGGGGGACTAGGAAATCCTGGAATACCAGGAATGCCTGGAATATTTGGAATAGGTGGGATTGGAAATGGGATGCATGGGATCCCAGGAAAAGGTGGGATTCCTGGAATGCATGGAATACCGATGGGTGGAATTGGAATTCTAGGAATGATTGTAAGGGATGGGATTTCAGGTATGACTGGAACTCCAGGTATGAGAGAATCAGAATTTGCACCACCGTTATTTTTCTTTGTGGCAACTTCAACTGCAAAAAAAAAAAACATATATCACAAATCACTTAATTTAAGAAAATCTTATCTCAAAAAAATTTTAAAATTAATCATTATGAATAATAAACAGGCATGATATAATACCTTAAATTTATCTAAGTTAAAATAAGACAACAAGAGTGTCAAACTAATCAATAAAAGAGGTGAAAATGTCACACTACTAAAGATTGAAGAATTCTTACCCAAGTTCCTAGCTTCTCCCATGGAAGAGATCAAAATAATCATGACCAAAAGGCCTTGCATGAGCAAGGCTAGTTTTAACAACATTTTTCTAAAGTATAGTGGAATTAAAATAAATTAGAAGTTTGCTGATGAAATTTAGTGTGAAGATGAACTCTATATATAAGCAGGTAGCAAGACATATAGAAAGAGAGTGGACAAGTTTATTAAGATTAGATCAAATTGTTTTTAATTCCTAAAACATTATTGGTAAGTTATAAATTTATACACGCATAAATTGTAAGACATAAATGTTATTGTGCCTCATAAAATTTAATTTAATGCAAATATTTTTCATTAAATTGTGCTTTATACGGCCATGACTTTTTTTATGTTAAAATGCTTTTATAAGGAAAAACGTTTTTCTTATTAAAAGAAAACAATAAATAATTAAAGGAGAATACTTATATTTAATTTATATAATTTATAGGTGATTTATATTTTTCTTGAATAAAAATATGATAAATATACTAAAATATCTTTTAAAGAATAAAAATAAAAAGAAATTACATATTTATAAAAGAAAATAATATATTTATTATATTTTTATTGAAAAAAAATATAAATCACACTTAAGAAAATACACTTAAATTTTTTTATAATTAAATTAATATTATAGTAGTTGTTCTATTACAACTCAGGCCAAACATATAACGGAAATTTAGTTAACTATAATTTAATATGAACTTTGTGTAATGTCTATTTTTAATTTTAATCTTATAGAATTTCTAATTTTAATCTCAAATTCTTATTTATTAAAAATACGTAATTGAACACAGTTATAAATATTTTTGAAATTGTTCAAGGTTTAAATAATTTTTTAATCATTTATAAATTGACCTATTTTTTTTTTTATTTATTTATATTTTTTTCTTAGATAAATTCTTTAAATATTAAAATTTATTTGATTTTAGTCTTTAAAATTAAAATCTAAAAAAAAAATTGGTAGACTTTATGCGGATTTTTTTTTTTTTTGTTGCAAATTTTAATTTGGCTTAAATGCAGTTTTGACCCCCCTAGTTTAAGGTTTTTGGAGTTTCGATCCCCCTAGTTTAAAAGCCAGGTTTCTAGTCCCCAAAGTTTTCAAATTTGGGATTTTTGAAGCCCCCTCCATCTGGCTGCCCAAAAAGTGACGTGGCAATGCCACGTTTTTTTTTTTTTTTTTTTTTTTTTTTAAATTTTTTTTTTCTTCTCCTCATGGGCAAAATTAAGGTTCGAAAGGAAAAAATAAAATTTTTTTTAAAAAAAATAAAAAAATAAAAAAATTTAAAAAAAATAAAAAAAATAAAAAAAATAAAAAACGTGGCATTGCCATGTCACTTTTTGGGCAGCCACATGAAGGGAGCTTCAAAAATCCCAAATTTGAAAACTTTGGGGACTAGAAACCTGGCTTTTAAACTAGGGGATCGAAACTCCAAAAACCTTAAACTAGGGGGGTCAAAACTGCATTTAAGCCTTTTAATTTTAGACTATTTAATTCAATAAATAATTAATACTGTCTTAATTTGTATATTAAATTTAAAATTTGTTTTGATTTATCATCCAATTATTAAGCTTAGAATAAAGATGAAAATTTAGTTACTTTAAATTTAGGTAGGTCCTCATCATCCAATTATTCAATATCAAAAAAGAATTAACGTTACTTAATAAATACCTTAAAACGGTCCAAATTTTGACAGCTACCGACAAGTCCATTGAGATTAGTTTTTAAATCCTAAAACACTATTTTAAGTATTAATTTTTGCCTATATAGAATACTATGTAATTGGTAAGATATAAAATTATTATGATTCAAAAGATTTATTTTATTTCCATTTTTATTCATCGATTGTTATGCTTTATACGTGAATACTATTTTTATATTTAAATGTGTTTATAAGGAAATGCATTTTTATTTAAAACAAATGTAATGTTTAAATTCAAGTTATCTTCATTTTAAAATTTGTGTTTGATTATTTATTATTTACGATTAGCTTTTCTTTGTTGGAAATCCATCAAATTTCTATGATAAATTTCTATCAATCTTGATGAACAAGATTGATATCACCATACAATGACAATGAATTATAAAAAAAGAAAAGAAAGAAGACAATTATTTACTGCAGAGTTTCTCTCTACCCACAAACTATGAAAAACTTTATTAATCACTTGCAACTGCAAATTTTGTGATTACAATGAATTGATTTAATTACAAAATTAAGGGTTACTTAATCTATTTATAGATTTAGGTTAGCTTGCTCTCTAAGGCAAAGCCCAAAACTATTAAAGTTCAAAATACCTATTTTGGTACTAAATTAAATCTATCTATTTGAGATCTAAATTAAATTTATCTAAATCAAAAACCAATCAAATCTGTGTGTAGCTTGCTTCGATCCACAAGCTCTTCGACTGGGCAACCTCCCTTCGACACACACTGTTTCGACACAATCGAATTACAATTTAACACACCACCTAATTTATTGTGTCTAAACTATCTATATTCATCATGGTTCTTAGTCTTCTGAATACTTCGACATGCACTCCATTCGTCATGATGTCTGCAATCTGATTCTCATTTCTGCAGTGTTCCAAATTCATCTTTCCATCTGCTACTTGCTCTCGAAGATAGTGGAACCTCATTTCGATGTGCTTGCTTCGACCATGTGCTATCGGGTTCTTCGCCAGATTGATAGCTGACATGTTGTCGATCTTCATGGTAATTGCTCCATGATCTTTCCCTGGTGTCTTTTTGACCAAGTTCACCATCCAAGTTGCTTGACATGCACAAAGATAAGCAACTATGTATTCTGCTTCGCATGATGATAATGCCACTACTGGTTCCTTTCTTGAACTCCAAGCAACTGGTGCACCACCTAAAATAAATACATATCCTACTGTTGATTTTCGATCTTCAGCATCACTACACCAACTCGAATCAATGTATCCCACTAACTTGCATTCTTTTCCTTTATCAGCTGCAGGAAATAAAATGTCATAGTCGAGAGTTCCTTTGAGATACCTTAGTATCCTCTTCACCGCTGCTAGATGTGATATCTTTGGCTTCTGCATGAATCTACTTATCATACCTACAATATATGCTAAGGCAGGCCTTGTATGACAAAGATATCTCAATGACCCAATAAGTCTTCTGTATTGGGTTGGGTCGATGTTGTACCCCAAAATTTTCTCTCTCATGTTTCCTAAGGCTTTTTCTCTTATATGGGTGATTACAAGCACTTGCCTAAAGAAAAATGAAATGTTTGAATGATAGCAAAGAGTCTTTCGATTGGCATGCCAACAATGCCTTTCGATTGGCACCTAAATAATGTCCTTCAATTGGCACATCAGAGCAGTGTCCTTCAATTGGCACATCAGAGCATTGTCCTTTGATTGACACATTATAGCAGTGTCCTTCGATTGGCATAATGGCAAGCTTCGACTGGGCTCCTAAAACCCTTCGACCAAGCGTTGGCCTATCATCTTCGATTGCGTGTTGGTTCCCCTTTCGAGCAAGCATTGGTCCAAGTTTCATTCAGGCGAGACCCTCCTGCAAGTTCCCTTCGATCCACCAGCAGTGGCCTCCTACATGTTTATTTCGACTCACTAGGCCAAAAGACCCTTTATGCTTGCCTTGGATTCATCAGGCCAAAGGCCCCTTCATGCTTGCCTTGGATTCACTAAGACAAAGACTTCCTTTGTGTTTGCCTTCAATACACAAGGCCAAAGACTCCTTAACACAGTTTCTGCACTATGGCACACAATATGGCCCCTTCGAAAGAGCCTTCTAAAGGTCCAGTCAAAGGATACACATTGGAGAGTCTTTCGAAGAAGGCACAGAGCATGCACATGGTCCCTTCAAAAGAACACACACATTGGTTCAAAACAAAGAATACACAGAAGACCCATTCGAAGGACACTTTGATGGGAAACACATATTGTTGTCTAAAAAGGGGGTCTGGTCGAAGGATGTATCTAGTTGGTCAAAATGAAAGAAAAATATTCAAAGAGGCCTGTTGGCCCAAAATCCAACATACTGCCAGTTTCAAACCAACGTGCACAAGCACATTCATGACGAAGGAAGCTTCGACCAACCAATAAGATAAGTCTTCGATTTATCCAAATTGAGGGAAATCGAAGAAAGAAGAAAGAAGTTTCGACAGGCCCATAAGGTAAACCTTCGATTAGTCCAAACTGAAGGAAATCAAAGAGAGCCATTCGAATAAAAACTCAGAACAATCGAAGGGCATGGACTGAAGGTATTCGAAAGCCAAAGGTGTCCACATTCATTCGAATTCAAAAAAGAGACAAGAATTCCACATATTTTGTAACGTTTCAAAATGGTATTCATGGCCTTAAAACACCAACTTAATGGTTGTTTACTCATTTGCCTTCTTGTCCCCTTCATCCCCTCTATATAAGGAGACCACATATATACGCACAGAAGATGGAGACAGAAGCCCAGGGGAACCATACACACATATTGTTTTACACGCATATACAACCTAAGAGTAGCATACCAAAAACTCTCAAAACTCAACAAGATCACACCACACTTGTTCTCCCCCCTTTCGAATCCAAGAGCATTCAACAACTCTAGTCCCCCATACAAGTTCCAGTTTTAAGCAAGCCCCAAACGAAAGACAAAAGGAGTTTGAATGAAGGATATGCCCTCATGCTACTCCACAGGTCCATGTGACTTCATATTCTCAATCGAAAGAAATAGAGAAGGTGCAAATTGAAGGTGACCCATACCACTCACTGGCTCATTCGAAGGAGGCAGAAAAGGTGCAAATTAAAGCTTGCTCACGTCAACTCTTAAGCCCAATCGAAAGAAGGTCAAAGGAGGGTGAGAAGGGTGAATCGAAGGCATCTTCCCCTCTGTATCGAAAAAGCCCCTTTTCTCTCTGGATCGAAGGATGCCCTCTTCGTATCTTTATTTTTGTTTTCATTATTTCTCTTGTTAAACTAACCATTAAATCAAAATCACAAAAAACATTAGGCTAGTG